TATCCCCTGTGTGCCTTGTCGACTCAGTTTCCACATTCCTCCGCACCCTACGAACCGCCCCTCTACCGCGTTCTAGATTTCAATTCCGCGTGATAATTCGAAGGGTGGCACGCCCGCTCGTGCCTGGCGCCCAACTTCGCGTTTTTTGGATGTTGTGCAATTACGAGTTACGGTAATCGTTGTCTTTAGCCGGATCTTGTAGTCCGACACTTGAGAAAGTGCGGTCACAATATATACCTTGTTAAACCAATAAATATAAAAATCATTTTGATTAGTACAAAAATGATTATTAATGCCTTCTATCTTGAATTTAGTTACTTTTTTTCTCATGCGTCAAAAGTCAATTGAACGCGAGGAAATGAAAAGCAGCTATCTTCAAGAAAGAAAACATTAATAACCTCTTCTGTAAAAAGAATAAATTTAACACAAAAATTATGCTTATAACATTTTATTATGCGACATGATATTGTTTAATTTAATAAAAAAAACTGCACTTTTTAATACATTTAAGAAACGAAAAGTCAGTATACTACTTGTTACATTACATTATTATGCATTTTAATAATATATATAATTAAGTAATATAATTAAAATTAGTAAATTTTATATATATATATATATATAATGTATGTATATAATTATTTAAAATTTGTGTAATAATAACATTATCAAAGAGATGAATCATTGATATCTTTATCCAATTATTAAATAATATACTTTAAACAAATATAATAGTTCTCAGTATTAATTACCAATTTACATACAAACAGATCTCAGATATCATCGTTAAAACCCGATATTAAATAATAGATTTTGAACAAATGCGAGAGTTCATTTTGATTTTTAAATCTTAATTATAATTACCAATTATCAAATACCATCGTTAATTTATTATAAAAGGATTAAACATTTTATTATTTTTATTTGTAAGCAATAAGGATATATATATATAGCAATTGTATTGTTACATTCAAATTATTTGTTCTTTATATATATGTATATAAGAAACCAACATATTTTGTAAGTCAGCGGAGCAGAGAAAATCAATATCACCTGAGGTGTCAAAATCAATATCTACTGACAGACACACGCCGTGCGCACGTATATAATAACAGAATAGAGTGGTGAACTCTAAAAA